CGAGCCAAAACGCATCGGCATACTATTACTCCGCCAGGAACTTTCGCCACCCCTGATGCACGCTTCAGTCATGTGCATATTGACCTGGTAGGTCCGCTGCCACCATCTAACGGTTCTACCTATATGCTGACATGCATTGACCGTTTTACTCGGTGGCCGGTCGCTGCGCCCATTCCGGACATCAGTGCCGAAACCGTTGCAAGAGCTTTCTTGACTCATTGGGTGTCCAATTTTGGAGTTCCTGCGACTGTCACCACTGACCGCGGATCCCAATTCGAGTCCACGCTGTTTCGCGAACTCACATGCCTTCTCGGCACCAACCGTATCCGAACAACAGCGTACCACCCTCAAGCAAATGGTCTTGTCGAACGCTTCCATCGACAGCTTAAGACTTCCCTTATGGCCCAGCCCGATCCTTCCCGATGGTCTGAATACCTTCCCTTGGTGCTGTTGTCCCTCCGTTCCACTCTCAAGGCCGACATCGGTTGCACTGCAGCTGATCTTGTCTACGGAACCTCCCTACGACTGCCCGGTGAGTTAGTGTCTCCCTCAAACATGCTAACGTTTTTCGAACCTTGCGGTTATGTGGAGCAACTACGTAGTGCCATGCACAATCTCCGCGCAACGCCCCCTCGGGCGTCACCGGCCAATTCCTTCATCCCTTCCGACCTGGATAAGTGCGATTTCGTCTGGGTTCGGCATGACGCTGTCCGACGACCACTCCAACCACCCTATGACGGGCCGTATAAAGTCCTTCGTCGATCTGACAAAGACGTTGTCATCGACCGCAACGGCAAGACCGACACAGTCAGCATTGATCGCGTCAAGCCGGCGTCCATCGACGACAGTGACCTTTCCTCACCCCAACACTGTGCCCCGCCGCAAACAGTGGTGCCTCCACCTTCTGGCGACAGTCCCCCTCCGGTTCGCCGCACACGATCTGGCCGTCACGTCCACTGGCCCGACAGGTTTGTGGCTGGTTAGCATGTCGACGCCTTCACTTCGTTTGGTGTCTGGGGGGGGGTTGTAGCAGCCGCTCCAGCCCCCCTTTTCTCCGGCTCCGTTTTGTCGATCGATGACCGCGATAAGCGCTGACAGGCCGCTGACGCACGACCACCCCCCGCCGGCTAGAACTGGGACACCTCCGGTCCAGCTGCAGTGAACCCCGGCTGCACTCAAAAACTAGTATCGCCTAACGCGCGTCGATCGCTTTGGCTTGATTCCCGTGAGGCCTTGTGAGTATGCGCCCTCCATTCGTCCCCTAATTAGTCCAATCACACGACCACCACGCAGACAGTCACCCCCTCCTGCTAACTTAGGCACACACACGCGCATTAACAAGACACACCGCGACTGACGCTCTCTGCGAACGGACGCTTTTCTCTGTTGCAAGCAAACCGCCAACTTACGGCAGCCTGCCCTGTGTACAGAATAAACTAGTCCTCACAGCTCCCTGCCTTCTGACAGTAGACGAAACGAACTTATTGTGCGTGGTTTAAGTTGATCTACCATCCTTGACCGCCACAAATCAAGTAGTTAACCTTGACTCGTAATTAAAACGCCTTAAAGCATTTGGGGTCAAAATGGGTGGAGAAAGCACAGGAGACCTGCAGTCCCTACCTCCCAAAACTATTATTGAGAGAAGGGAACGAATTAACTTAATCCTCCCGAGAAAAGCCAACCGGAATTATCACGAAGTAGTTTGTCAGCTGGGCCATTTCCAATCGAAACCTTCGAAGTTCCGGGGACATTTTTGAGACTCAGATCAAACGGAATGGTGGAAAAAGACCTGACTATCCGCAAAAGGCAAAGCCCACAGAAACAGGTTTCAGTAGAGTCAGTAAATGATATACTATCATTATAAGGACAACGACGGTTACTCAGATGACACAAATAACACTGTAGGACATTTTGCGCAAAACAACGACAAAAAGAAACAAGTAGTACACAGTGCTCTGACCAAAGAGGCCAGATTTAAACCGTCCGAAAACAGAACGGGACTGCAAAATGGAGTTCAAAAGGATGTTGTAAGGCCTGAAATTGATATAAGCGTATCGGGATATATGAATGGTGCAAAATGTTAGTGCTTTTATGCAGATGCTCAGGGTCTGTCATTCACACTTGATGAACACATAATTTAACGTGCCGAACCTTTCAGCCTTGGCAGTCGGCAATGCCCACCGTGTGCTCCACAGCAGAGTGAGAGCAGGGACGGTGGCCCGCACATGAAGTCAATTGAAGTCAGGTTATTTAGAGAATAAGGCTTTCACCCTTTAGCTTCTCATTCATTTCCGAAAATAGCAATAGAATAAATCGTAGCACCAGCCAGTCACTTGAATAACAGCGGAACATAGACCTTAAACAATTAAATTCAAGCTGAACAGTATAGCACAAATAGAAATATCCCTTCATTTCTCTCCTTTGCATTTCCACCAGCTGACTCACCAGACACTTAAAGCCTCCACGCGACTACCACGAACATGCCTTTTGATAGAGCCCAATATATTTAGTTGTCCGTAAGGCTATATTGTGAATTAATTAAATCTATGTAAGACTATATTGGATTGTATGAAACAGCCGACCAATATTCCTATAATATTATATTAACAGGAACCATATGACACCTAATCCAATATTAATCTGATATCCCTGGCTGTGACTTATCACGGGAAATTTCGTGTCCTTGATACATGCTCATCTTTTTTAGCTGTTAGTCCAGACAAATATGATTAGCCTTCTGGGAGACAAAAACGAACGATATGACCAGATCTAAGAGACTGCCCAAATAAACTGACGGCCGGCAATTGGCAGTCACCAAAATTTAATCACCTCGGGGATAATTTCAACGCCAAGTTGAGATCGAAGTTCTTTAAGTTCCACGGAAGTCGAAATATTCATGACCACAAAAACTTTCAACATCCAAAATAAAATCCTTATATTGTAAATCTCGTACTTTTTTTAACCTCTGCTGTTATTTCGCCTTGCAAGTCATGTTATTTAAACTTAAAACAAACTCCCAACTCGCTCTCTACTGACTAAGCAGACACCCAAAAGAAGTACAGTCAAAGCTCGATGTAAATATATGAGTTTGGTTTGGGTTCTTTTCCTGTGCTCAAAGGAGACTAGCAGCGCTCAAGAGGTGCTATAAAAACCCATTTTATTCTGCTATTTATCTGGAAATTTAAAAGATGCCCGTGTGTGTGAATCAGGGCACATTGCCGCCACTGACGCTGACACTGAAAGACAAGAGCGGTTCTATCTGAAGCTGTGCTGGAATCATGAGAATTAGTGACATTTCTCCAGGAACCTCACTGCTGTTTTCTTAAGTACGGTTTCCATTATTTTACAGCCCCAACTTCATTAAAAGAATTGGCGACCGATAATGTCTGATACAGTGCAACCCCTCCCTTCTTGACTGCCGGCATTTTGTAGTCAGTTTTTTTTACTGCTGGCCGGATTTGTGTTTAACGCTTCACTGACAATGCTTGTAAACTGGCATCAAATAAGATTATTATTATTATTATTATCATTAAATGCAGGTTAGACTAACGAGCCGATAATCGTTAACATTAGTTCGAGCCCCACCTTCGTAGATCGGACAAATACTGACTGTCTTTCATTCGGATGACAGTGATATTACGGTTGCCCAGCCCCTACAGCACTCTGTCCTCCTCCCCACCTAGATCCGGTGCCACGACAGGACCAAGAATACCGGAAGTGGGAGAGAGCATAGGTGGCTAGCATGGCGAAAACCCGCACCCAGGCGTACCAACAAGTCCCATGTTCCATAACGTACACTGAGCAGAATTTTGCGACAAGAAAAAATGTTGGAGGCAGCTCGGAGCTCGTAGGACGGGAGTTCCATAGGGACAACATAAAAAAGCCATTGCAATCTGGCTATCAGACCACCAGCCCACCACTCCACACAAACGCACACTGGGCTTACTGCTAGGTCCGAGTTATCCCGTAATTTTGCCACTTTCTAAGCCCCGGCTTTTGGTGCATCGTGATAGCCTCATGCGCGTCAGATTGTTTACAGTGAGAACTTATGTGCTGTGACGACGACCTCACACGCTATTCGCATTCCCAGGTCCCAGGCACTGTCGGAGCTATCAAGTTTCTGCTGCGCGGAATGGGCTCGATGACTGACAAAGCCAGAGACCTCGAATGTGCGTGTTACACATGACATTCCCCCATGCGCGCACACCAGGATTACACGCGCAAGGAGGTAGAACGCTTTTATCTCACATGCAGAAGACGGACTACATGGGGAAAGGGGCCGGTGATGTGGGGTGTTGGAGGCGTTAATATGCGTCGCATATATTGATGAGGAAGTGCTTGGTGATGTAGACATGCCCGCGGTGATTTGCCGCAGGTTTTCATGAATGCGCATGTGACCGAATAAACCGATGTGATAGCTGAATTTACAAGGACGATGCGGTCAATCGAGGCGATAACGTCTGATGTATGTTGATGCTTCAGGCACTGGTTTGCCAGTCTCTGTGCAATGGATTAGAAATGTACGACCTGGCCTGCTGTGACGGTGATGCAGGAGAGGTTGGAGGATGTTGAATCTGTTTTCGTTGTGATGCTGCCAGTGATAGGCGCGCTTGTTGATGGGAAAATAACTAGGTTGGGAATGGAAGGGACGCTGGATGTGCAAAGTATGTTAGCCGTGTCGATTCCGCGATGAATTCCGCCGTTGTGCATATGCATGTGGCCGAATATGCCAATGCGGTGTTCGAATGCACGTGGACAGTAACTACGGATGCTGCCAGTGTGTGCAGGGCTCCCGGCACGGTTACATCCGTCGCAGTGTAATGGGATTGCAAGTGGCCGACCTGGCCGATATGCAGGGTGAATGTGCGATCGCAGGGAGGACAGGTCAGGGCAGAGGGTCTACATCGCTGGGGATGGTGGTGGTGATTGACAGGCTGTCGGAAGCGTTTTGTTCGGTGGTGGGAATGGGGGCTGTGATGGTCGCCGTCGTCGTCGTCGTCGTCGCGGCGGTTGTGGCACGGATGATGGAAATGACGGGGATCGACGGCGTCGGGGTGCAGAAATGTTGAGCATCGATGACGAAGACGGTTGTCGCAGTGTACGCCTTGGAGGACTGGAGGAGGGGCAGCCGTGAAGGCAGCATTTGGAGTTGATAAACTGTTGATGCATTGAGTCCGGAAATGTCCGATGGGGACACATTGAGAAGAAGCCATTGCAGCCTGACGCTTGAGATAGGTCTTCAGAGTATTCTTGTATCGACGGATTTGACTTCCTTGGCGGCGCGAAACAACATCGTCATAGAAGAGTCGTATGGCTAGCTGCTCGTCGTTCATTCGCACGAGATGGCCGCTCCAACCCAGTTGCAGTTGTCTCAGCATGGCGCAGATGCTGAGGATTCCTGTCCGCTCCAGTAAGTCAATGTCGGGGATTCGATCCTGCCACCTCAGCTTCAGTATCCTCCGGAGACAGATGAGGTGGGAGTGATTGAGTAGGTCTGTCTGCATCATGCACATCATCTAAGTCTCTGCTGTATGCACCAACTTTAGGAGGATGACGGCCTTGTACCTCGGCAGTTTCGTGTTGAGTTAAAGACCGTGTCGATTTCAGACAGTGTTTTGCAGACGGCCGAAAGCCTGTCAGGCCTTGAAAATACGGCGTGCAACTTCATCGTCAACTCTGGTGTTTTGAAAGATGGTGCTGCCCAGATACGAGAAGTTGTCCACCACTTGCGGTTGGGTTCCGTTCACGCTGAGTTGCGGCGACCTGTGGGCTGTGTTTGGTGGCGGTTGGTGCATGACCACCGTTTTCTTTGTGTTAATGGTCAGGCCAAACTCCTCGCATGCGGCGGAGAAGAGGTACATGCTCCTTTGCATGTCCCCTTCTGACGTGGCGTTGAGGGCGCCGTCATCGGCGAAAATAAGTTCGTGGATGGTAGTCGTGGATACGCGCGACTGGAAGTGCATCTGTCGGCGGTTGAGGAGGTGGCCGTCCGTCCTGTAACCGATGCGGATCCCGGGACTTTCGCCACGATAGGCGTTCATCAGCACATCAGAGAACATGAGACTGAATAGCGTAGGCGAGAGGATGCTGCACAGCTTCACTCGGTGAGTCGCTGCAAGTGCCTCTGAGACGATTCCGTTGTCCGTGAAGCGCACCGTCAGGCCATCGTGGAGCTCACGCACCATCTGAGTGAATCGTCCGGGACAGCCGAATTTCTGCATGATTTACCGCAGTCCTTCGCCTTTCGCCGTATCGAAGGCTTTCGTCAGATGGACGAAGGGAGAGTAGGGGTGGATCCGTATCTCCTGACACTTTTCCTGCAGTTGTCGGGCGGCGAAAATAATGTCGATGGTTCCACGATGACGGCGGAAGCCGCACTGGCTTTCCGGCAGGGGGCCCTGCTCTAGATGGGTGTTCAGGCGGTTGAGGAGGATGCGAGCGAAGATCTTCCGGACGATGATCAGTAGGAGATTCCTCGGTGGTTGTCTCAGAGCTGGCGGCTCCCTTTGCGCTTGTAGAGATGGACGATTGTGACGTCCCTGAAGTCCTGTAAAACTTCTCCTTGACGCCACGCCTCATGGAAGAGCACTGTCAGACGATCCGTGAGTTGGAGGGTACCATGTTCGTAAATCTCAGCTGGGATCGCGTCAGTGCCGAGTGTTTTACCTCGGCTCTGAGAAGGGAAGAAGTTCCGCTGGCTGTGGGACGGTAGACAGCCTTGATCGAGACAAAGAAATGCTTTCATTAGTGTCGCTCCGCCTACTCTTGGATCGCCTTGGCCATGCGAGCTGTCCAAGCCTCCTGAATCTCCAGAAGTCGCTGTTGCAAAAGACGACGACTGCGGTAGATGGCTACTTTGTTTTCTTCAGTAGGACAGTTGACGTAGGCTTTGCGCAGTCTGTTCTTCTCGGCGAGTAGGCTGTTGATGTCGGCGTCATTGTTGTCGAACCAGTCCTGATGTTGGCAACGTGCTCGAGAGAGGATAGGGTGGTCGACTGGACCGTGTCCCTAGGTTGACACCATTGGTTCTCCACGGAGGCGTTCGCGTCGTCGGCGGGCGGCGGCGGGGATTGGTAGGTTGGCTGGCCTTTGGGCTAGTTCATTGTTTAAGTAGAGGTGGTGAGCAGGCAAAGACAAAAAAGCAATATCCAACTTACCTGGGGGTCGCTTACCTTGAGGTCTCCTGTCCTCATCTTGGAGATGACAAGACGATGGTTGGTCCACCCG